ACCCTTTAAAACTACTTTTTTTCTTTTTCTGTTTTGATATTGCTTGCAGTTAGTTTACATTAGTGCTAATAACACGTAAAATATTTGGCATTACTTGCTTGCTTCTATGCTGCGTGTGTTTATGTTAGTAGGAAAATATATGTTTTTTTGTTTTATATTAAAAACTCACTCGTGCGTATGTTTGTTTTTATTTTTGTTATATAAGTGCATCGAAAATTTTATTTATAAATGCTACGCTAATACTAATTAAAGTGTATGTATATTTATTTATTATTTGTTAAAAGCAGCGCGCCGCTTGGCAAGCGCGTATTTGGAGCTGCAGCAAAACTTTGGCAAGATTTTTATGGCAACGAAATTAATTACACATCACTTTATAGGAAAAAATATATTAAAAAGTGTTGGAGAACGCCGGAATTAAATGAAAATGCTGAAATACCTTTTGCGCCCAAAAGTGTGCTATGTTTTTTTATTTTACCTAATATCATGTAGTATATAAAGTAAACACAAAAGAGCCAGTAACTTATTTATAAAAACTGATAAAAAATTATAATTTCGCAAAAAAAATAGTTTTGCATACTTTTAGGCTCTTTATTTTGCATCTTTGGGGCTCTTTCAATAAATACCGAAGTAAAAAATTTTTTTTAAAAATATATAGTTTAGTATTAGTATATTTTTAGGCGCATACTCTTGTATAACTGTGGTAAGCCTCCCTTACATAGTATATACCATTCATCACTCAGCGGAGAAAATTGGCGCGATCTATTACAAACCACCACACCTGAGAATACTACAATCAAACATCACCATATAGGACAATAGAACGCCCCACAACACAACTCCAATACACAGCCACGCTTCAACACACATTTGATTCTACGCTGCGCAGCGTTAACGCTGCAACTCCCGCACTAGCTATCAAATTCATTGGAAAAACCGGAATAATAATAACTGACAAAAAAAACCGGGGTATGCGCCTAAAAGTATGCAACACTTTTTTTAAACTAAATTATAATATTCAAAAATAATTTTTCGGCTCTTTTGTGTTTACTTTATAAATTATTATTTCTAAAATGGTTTCATTAATTTGAATTATTCCAAGATAATGGTATTTAAGTAAACACTACAAAAAGTGCAATAAAGTAATTTTTTTTATTTTTATAAAAAAAAATATATTTTTATATACTCTTTTATTAATTTTTTTTTTAATTTTTTGCTTATTTAGTGTTTATTTTCAATGTTACTATGATATTTTATCAGTTTAATATATAATGCGCCTAAATATAGGCAGCAATAGCCATAAAAATAAAAAAAAGTTAATCGGCTCTTTCAAAAAGTAATATTACAGCTTGCAGCTGTTATAAAAAAACTCTTTGAATTAAAAATGGCATCTTTCAGGCGCTAGATACATAATAGTGCACTTTATTATGGCGCACAAATGTATGCAACAACGCAATTAACAAAAGTATGGCAACTTTGGAGCACTCAATGTTAAGAAATGTTTTCAAATACGATATTCAAATCAAGCTTTATTCCAAATAGCTTAGAAATTGTATGCAGCATCTTTTAGGCGCAATTATTTTTCTTGCGGCTAATTTGCAGTTAAAGTGCAAGATTATGCAGCSAAGGAGCATAAAGAAAAAAATAATTGTTAATACATAAATATTGAAAAAAATTGTTTATGTTTTCTTTGAGAATCTTGAATTTTTGGCATACTTGCAGGCACTGAAAGCGATTATCGAGCTTGCAGAATTTAGTTTACACAGAATAAATAATTAAAAACGAAGTTGCTAATACATTTTATGTTTCAGACGCTTAAAGCGTTTATCGGTGCTTCTTGCACTTCTAAAAAAAATTCTAATAAGTTGCATGTTTGGTTAAAGAAAATTTATGTTTTGACATAGTTTCAGGCGCTTTATTAGCGATTGATGGAGCTTGTAGAAGTTCAAATGGACATCATTTGCATTTCTGTGTGAAAGACTGAATTTTTAAAATATTTCTTGTATTTTTTGGCATACTTTCAGGCGCTTAAGCGTTTAAAAGTGCTTTATTGCGTTTGTAGAAGTTTAAATGGCCATCATTTATGCTTTTTTTTAAATAACTGAATATTTTAAATATTTTTTGAAATGCTTAAGCAGACGTGCGCCTAATACTATACTTTTCATTTTAACTATGTATTTTAATTACAAARAAATAATTTTTTTTGGAATGTTTAGATTTACGCATAGCGCTGTTTGGTATTTAATTCAACAGAAAAAATATTTTAAAATATGGCAACGCTTTTCCTAAAGCATTGACACTATGTAWTGAAAAATTGCTTGTATGAAGTATATTTATACTTTGTTACATAGTGCAGCGCATGCTGAAACACACCAACGCACACACACATACCACTATATACAGTTACAACAGTTAGTGTCCAACACACGTACACGCAGTTATGTTTGTATGTATGGCAGTGCCGTTGGATGGTCAATGCAATGGAGTGGGGTACGAACAAATACAAAAACAACATAGGGAACAAACGAAAATAAGTTAGTGTCAACACATATGTGGGTTCAACGATGTCTTATGCAGCAGCCAATATTTAAAGCATGATTATGTATGTATGCAGATATGCGATGTACATAAGTAGTTGAGAGTGATAGAACACTTGTAAACCATTTCATTTCTTTCGAATTTCGAAATCACTTTCTTTACGTTTGCGTATTAAATGGCCTTAAGATTTACAGTTATGAATTTCATTTGCGTTTCTCTTAGCATAAACCACAAATTTTATTGTTAATTGCTTGTCCGCGCGTATGCTACGCTTTAAGTGCACACACACACACACACACGTTGCGTTGCTCTAAGCCATTGAATCCTCTTCTAACGGACTGAACGCTTTATTTTTCTTCGATTTCCTCCCAGTTGTGCCAATTCGCGGTATCGTATATTTCATCTCATTATCATTCAAATTCTGCAGCTCCTGCACGCTGCTCAACTTGATGGAGGCGCGCAACGAGGGCTCAATGCTGTCCAACAGCGCGCTCGCACGCTTGCCCGCCAAACCTAAGGACGACGGCGGCGGCGGTGGCAGTGGCCCTGTCTGTTCGTTGTTGTTGCTGAAGCGCGTGCTGCCCTCGTAAATGTCGTAGAGCGATTGTGTGCTGCCCAGCGAGGAGCGACCGCTGCCATAGAGTGAGGGSCGTTTTATAGCAAACGATGAGGAGTAAAGCAGATTTTGCGCTTGTTGACGCAATTCGGTTTCGCTTGTTGTTGCTGCTGTAGTTGCTGCTGCTGGGGTTGTTGTTGGATCAACAACTCTTGCATTATCTCTTTTGTTGAAGCGTTCATGCACAATATCCGCATCGCGCAGTGGCGCACAMGATRACTTTGTTGTTGTAGTRGCATATTGACTTGTTGGCSGCGGCATTGTGCTGCGAAAAGTCGAAAGYGTCGGTCGTTCGGTGTCCACTTGCCGACTGGCGCCGAGTGTAGGTGTCTGCACATTAATTGCCTTCAATTGGCCAGCCGCGCTTGGCATATCGATACTGTCGTTGCTGGTAGTTGTTGCTRTTGTTAAAGTMGCCGTTGTTGGTGCCACCGTAACCGTAGCTGYGGCTGCAAAACGTGGCGTGAGCACACCGTGCGCCTGCCGCAACTCAACAATAGCTTCGGTGGCGCGTTGCTCACCCAATTTGGGCGCGCGCTCTAGCGCTAAGCTGTCGCTGCGCAGTTTAGGTTGTGCAAATTTGCGGAAAATCGGTGTGGTGGGCACGCTGCGGCTCAGATCGGGTGTGGAGCCGGTGAATTTGGCACGCGGATCGGAAGAGAGCGTAAAGTAGGTGCGTGAACGTAACATTTGATTGTCGCCGAGGAAGAGGCCGCGCGGTAGCGTGCGTGGCGCGTCATTGAAGAAGCCGCGCAGCTGCAATGGCACCTCAATATCTTGCTTGGTGAAGGGCACACGTTCGGGTATAGGACCATATTTTTGCTCGAAACGCTCAGACATGGCGTTGAGCGTGTCGATAAGCTTCTGTGGTAGTTTTTGTATTTTGTTTTTTGGATTTTGGTTTTTTTTTGGAAAGTAGTACCAACGCCAAAGCATACACAGCAAAATTATTCCCATGCCCAATATATGTAGTTATTTATATAATTTTTTTTTTTAATTTTAGAATTTTTTTTTTTTGGCATTTTTGGCAGGTTTGCATGCAATTTCAGCATATAATGATTAGTAGTAGTAAAATTTTGTTGTATTAAATTCAATACCATTATTAATATCCGAAATTCAAGCCATATTAAATGTAGCGGTTAAAAGAGAAGAGGATATACATAAGAGATAAGTCTTTAAATCGAGGTATTAACYTTAAAAGTATTTAGTAAACAATTTTTTTCGTAAAGCTTTTTAGGCAATTTCGACGCAACAAAATAAACTTGCGAATTAAATCAATAGAAAATACCAATAATAACAAAAATTATTAATAAATTTAAAAAATACAGTTAAGCACGTCAACGCCACCGTAAATTAAGCACCATAGACAGCGCCGAGTTGAGCGCAAAGCCATTACTAAACGCGCTACAAATGAAAGCTTTCGCTAAAAATTAAAACTTGCGATAAAAAAAATCAAATATTTAAGCTACAAACAACACAAAACTGTTAAAATATAAAATAAACAACAAAAATGTTGAAGCATAAGCAACTAAAGCACAACGTAGACGCAWTCAGACGGTTGTCTAGGCGAGTGAGGGGCATGTAAACAAACTCATAAATATATTTTAACAAACTATATGCGCCCAAAACACACATACATGTATGCGCTTTTCGGTGTATTATACAAGCAAAATAACAGCGCAACAAAAGAAAAAAAATTACAACAAAACACAACAAAAATTACAAACCAAAAATAAAATCACTCACTAACAACAACATAAAAATACACCGTTTGCACAAAATACACAAAATGATAAACGAAAATTATTGCAAATTCAACTTAGACAAATGCTTGAATGCTTTTTACTACGCCATTCGCGCTCAACTCAGCTGCTAGCCTTTTGCATTGAAACTAATAACAAATAAAGTGTTAAATAAATAACTTTCGTGCGGAAATAATAACGGCAAACACGTTAAGCTGAACGAATATTTACCTGCTTTCTAGGTACTAATTGCTCCTTCCATTCACGCAACTCAGCCTTTAGGCGCTCATCGATGTCTGTTAGTTTGGCCTGTTCGTGTTCGACCAAGGCTTTGCGTTTCTCATTCTGCAGCTGTTCGAGTTCTCTGTAAGAACGTAAGGAAAAACATGAAATGTGATTAAAATAAACAAATAAAAGTATTGAATCACTTTGAAGCAATAACCTATAATTTGAAAAGCAGCAATRCCGTACCTAACCTAATAGTAAACATTAGTGGACACAAAAAAATAAAATAAAAAACATTATTTCGGCTCAATGAAGCTACAGTACGCTGCACTGCTGCTTTTTTTTAAGTAAAAGGGGTATAAATAGTCGTGATATTGATTTTTAACGGTTAGTTTGTATGACAGCTATAGCTTATATTAGTACGATCTGAACAATATATTTGGGGATTGCCTTGGAAGTTAATCTATGCCAA